CATCTAAGTCCTTAATGTCACGACCCAAAATCATCTAGGTCCTTAATGTCACGACCCAAAATCATATAGCCAAAGGTATATCTCTAACGCTAACAAAATCCTTTTCAACTCCCTCAAAAGCCCACGCATTTCTTTCCTTCCACACCACCCAAAAAATAGACGATGGAATAAGACGTAGGAATCTATTCTTTGTACAAACACCCTCCCAAGCCCACAACTCCTCACTTACACTACCTGTCATAACCCAGTTCAGCCCCAACAAACCATAAACCAAGGACCAACTTGCCCAAGAGTTCTGAAGTGGCAAAGATGTAAAACTTTCATATTTGAGCTTGGCCATAGAAATTTAACAAACTATATGCTTGGTCATTCTCTTCAAATCACACAAAAAAAAAACTAACAATGTGGCTTGATTTTTCTCTAGATAAGGTCCATTATGAGTCATAATGATGTAGGATGAATTAGAGCTGATTTTGCCCACTGAGAGATGTCAAGATGAAAATCTAGCTATGACACGGTCTTAAAATATCATATCTAACAAGTCTTGAGTACTGTATTGAAGGGCTTGATTGCGTCATAGAACCACAAAATTGAGAAACTCCCAAAATATTTTATTAATTTTTCTGAAATTTTTTTATAAAATAATTAAAATATATACAAAAAAGAAGTTATATAGACATTTAGAAACTTTTCTAAGTAATTTTTCAGTACTAATAGGCTTAGCAAATAACAGTATTAATACAAATAAGAAACTAAATATTGATAAAATAAAATCTTAAAGTTACTGAAACTATAATAATAGACTTCTAATTAGTATAGCAATGTCTATATTAATGGACTAATGGACTCCTAACTATAATAATATACTCCTAAATGAGTAATTTATTAAGATCCTAAAATTTAAGGAGGCTAGTTGCCATGGCGTTACATGCATACAGATATATATGTATAAATACATATTACGAATGTATATGTATTTATCCCCTAAAAGCAAATAAAGCATATGACCTACTTCTCTCATGGCTTTGAAGTACCCAACTCTAAGAGATTTTAAGGTTCACTTTAACAAGAGCTTGACCATAGTTCATGCTAGGTCAAAAAGGGAGGAAATCCCAAATGCAGCAGCTCACTTGATTCAAGATTTGAGCCCATAACCTAATCACAATCATAGGACTATATCACAAGAATATGGTCTCTAAAAAAGCTACATCTTCTAGACCAAACATCAAATATATGAAGTATTAGAAGAAAACAATAAATAAATCTTCCTTTTGTAAACCGCCACTTAGTTGTTATTGTACCAGAAGTAATCCTATATTAACAAATTAATTCATATTAAAAAGGATCAGCATGAATCCTGCAGATTTAAGTTCATCCACCAGCCTCAGCAGTTGCAAAGTGTTCAAATTCAAGACCTCAACTACAGCAATTAACAAGGTAATAATTAGGATTGCCTTCTTTCTAATGTAAATAATCAAGCAATTAACCAGAAGCTCAATCAATATGCAGACCCAAGTAATCATCTAACTACTTAGCCAGAAGCAGCAAACACCAAAGAGTTTGTCTTGAATCACCAATTACCAATACCAGAAACTGAATTAAGTTAAGCAAAAAAGACATTCTGCTGAAATGACTCAAGAATTACATAACAGAATATTTGTCCAAATTGCCACCAATATGCAGAAAAAAAATCCCATGTGATTCTAGACTATACGACTTATAGTGGCTTCTATCCCACACTTACTCTAACATTCATCAAATAATCCAGATCGAGGTAAAAGAGAACACAAGGTCTGGTGATTTACAGTAACACTAAGGTTCCAGTTAATGCAACTGTGATTCAATTTGTATATCATTCTACCGCTTAACTATTAGGATTATAAATTTATCCCTAAAGAATTCAAATGGGAGAGGAGATTGTTTAAATGTGAAAATTATGATGCAATTCTATAAGTGGCGATTAATATAACAATTAAATAAAAAAAATGAGAAACTATTTGAACGAGAATGAAATCAACAAGGATCCCAAGTTCTTAACCAAGTATTAGTGAAACTTGAAACAAAGAAGAAAACTTTGGAAAGAAAAAAAAAGCAAAAAAAAAAAGAGGAGCAGCATACCATAAGCACAGTGGATGAACACTGGCTTGTTCTGAGCTCTCTTTCTACAAGCCCATTTGACGGCCAATTCAATCTCTCCCGGCTGAGGTGCTCTTGTGTCCCAAGTAGGGACGCATAAATAGGCATGTCCCTTGAACTCTGACCTCCTCGGAAATTCACAAGTGCAATCAATAATGGCAGGGTTACCAGGCGGCATATTAGCAGGCGAAGAAGGCCACCCGCCAACATACAACCCCTCAAGAATTTCACTGTGAGGTTCTTCCCCACTCAAGAATCTCCTCAATATGGAAAAAACCCTAACAAAACACAGGTATGGGCTGAACATTATAATAGACCAAATGGGAATACTCCCATCTCGGTTTTTCCCCAAAAGCATGGGAAGATTGATCGATGGATGTGAAGCTATTGAGATCAGAAAAGACACCAAAGACGCATACAAAAATGGTATTGATAACAATTTGAAACCAAGCTTTTTAAGGAAGATGAAGAACAGGAATAAAACAGTTGCCTTTAGGCCTATCAAGATTGATATACCTAAACCCATAGCTTGATCTAAGTAACAGTATAAAATGAAGGGGGAAAAGATAGAGAGCTTTTCAGATCAAACGATCTTATAATTGATGACTTTTCAAGGTTTCCTTCAGCGTCATTAGAATTTGCCGAACTTATCAGGTCAAAGATGCGAAGATTAAATATTACGCATGCTTACAGAATGGATCGAAGCAACGAATATTTACATAAAACGAGAAGCAACATTGCCGTGAGAAGCAACGTTGCAGCGCTATCGACACAAACGAAGAAGCAAGGAAGAGGAAGACGCATGTCTGATTGTTTTCTTTATCTCCATTGGTTGCTTTCCCTTGTATCCAAAACCAAAAAAAAAAAAGTATTTCTAATTTTTTGATGCATTAGGGCTACCTAAATAAAAAAATTGAACTTATCTACAATGTTTTTTCACCCAGATTAAATCTAATTTTATATAAAAAAAAAATGTATTGTAAATAAATAGTCAAATATCTTTTATTAATATAATAATATTTCTCATGGCTAATTGGGCTCAAAAAGCTAAAAGCATTCAAGGATATTGAATGATGAATGAAGGCCCAACCTGATCCTTAAAGAAAATCAGCTGTCTATTTTGAGGCCTGAAATACTCTCTGAAACCGGCGGAGCGTCTTCTCTGCTTCTCTATCTACAAATCATTACATACATACCTTTAAATCTTGCTTTGTCATCTCTCCGGAGTCCTTGTGCTCTGCCTCAACCAACTTGCAACTCACTGAAAGATAACATTTTTACTCTCTATCTTATGGTGCGAAGGCTCCATTAAATGGAGGCTGGAAGGAATTTGCTCTCTTCATCTCCTTCCTTTCCGACAAGAACCCACCTCAAAAATAGCTTCTCTTCATCTTCTTCAGGTGATAATCATTTAACTTATGTTTGCTTTTACTTTGTGCTGTAGTTTCTTGCTTATATCTGTAAGTTCCTTTTTTTTTTTTTTTGGTTATGTTGTCTCATTGTGGTTTCATTTGTTGCTTCGTTTGCTTTCCTTGTGGTTATTCTAAAGCTTTTTCACATTTTATCTTCCTGTAAACCAAATGGAGTTTCTAGGGAAGTTTTAATTTTGATATGCTAAAATGTGCAGACGTATGGGAAATAAACTGGGTTTCCTTTCATGTGATGTTTTGTTGTTTGATGAGAAATGTATATTAGTTCCTTTTTTCTTTTTTTCTTTTCCTTTCTGAGGGGAGAAATGTATATTAGTTCTTAGTGCTTATCTAATTGGTTGCTTGAACTATAAAGCCACTGTGTGTATATGATTTGGTAGTTTGATCCTTGATATGAGGAATCATTTACGGAAATACAGGGGAAAAATGCTGACCAAAATGATTACCTTGGTCATTTGTCCCCTGTTTGATCCTTTTGTCATCTACTTCCTCTGTATTTATGATACTACTTTACTGTTTTTAATTCTTAATGAGCAAGCTACTTCTGCAGTTACTTCTGTTCCAGTTACTTCCATGACCCGTCATTTTCCTGCATCAGTCCTTTTACAAGAGCAGCGGGACGAATATAAACCTTTCTTACACATCTTCAAAGAAGATAAAACATCCCAGGTAAGACTTTCTTTCTCAACATCAACTTTTGTCGATAATGATTTACCATGGTAATTCACCCATATTGTTTGTAATGTTGATTCACCAAATTTTTATTTCGCAAAAGAAAAGCAAACCTCTTTTATGTCTTGCCGCAACTCCAACTTGTGTTTGTCTCTGTTGCATTACAGGCAACAATTGATGGGAAGCAGATGGAAACTGGGTTCTCATCAAATGAAGATATGAACTCCAGTAACTTGGAGGAGGTGTACCTGGACTTTGAAGAACAGTTTCTTCACTGGCCTGATTTATGGAATATGTATGATGTTTCTTTTCTTCTATTTATACTAAATAAAGTTTTCATCTTTTTTAGAAATTCATCTTCATTTGATAATTTAACTTCCTCTTGCAGATTGCCTTCCTCAGAAACTGGGAGATATCAATTGCCATCCTTGACCTTGGAATCTGCTGTTGCTCATAGCGAGAAGCTTCGGAATGTTGAACAATGTAATGTGGTTTCCTTGGCTAGGAAGGCTTTATCAGCATCCAAACAAGCAGCACAATTAGCCGAGGATCTTAAGTTTTATCAACCTAATCTTGATGAGTCACTTTCCTCTAGGTTTACTTCCCAATCGCTGTCTCTTTTGGCTGGAACTTATTTATCTTTCAATTAAAAACTGTTCAAAGCCTAATATGTAGTACTTTTTCAGTTTGGGCTCTGCTAGCTCAGCTGATTGTCCAGTGGAGGAGCAAATCAGGGTGAGGTCAACTCGGCTTTTGGAGAGAAAATCTAAAAACAGGAGGGTCTCAAAATCTAAAGTTCTAAATAATGAAACATACAGGTCTCAGCGTGTTAATAAACGGAGAAAATTAAAAGAAGACTTTGATCCTGATGATGCCCTTCGATTATTCTTATGGGGTCCTGAAACAAGACAACTTTTGACTCCCAAGGAAGAGTCTGAATTGATTGTTCGAATACAGGTTTATCTTTGAATCCAAAATTTTAATAGATAAGTGGTGTTAAATACATTAAATTCCTTATTCTTATTTAAGATATATAATTCCACAGGATTTGGCAAGACTGGAAAAGGTGAAGGATAAGCTTCAATCTCAGTTCGGCCGGGAACCAACTGTGGTTGAATGGGCTGAAGCTGTTGGGTTGAGTTGTCAAGTCTTGCAGTCAGAAGTTCACTCCGGTAAGAGAAGCCAGGAAAAGTTGATCACTGCTAATCTACGTATGGTGGTTCACATAGCCAAACAATATTTGGGTCGTGGACTCAGCCTTCAGGACTTATTGCAGGTTGACTAAGTGTATTTTAATTTACAAGCCTTCTTTCGTCTTCCATTTAGTGGAATAGGAAAAGATACCAAACTTGATTTGCTAGATAAGATGCTTAAGATGAGTTTGCTTCAACTTGATAGGTCTCAGTTAGAGCTTCACACTCAGGTAAAGTTTTCTACTTTATGTGAGAAAAAACCAGAAAAAGTTTTGGATTTCTTGACATGAATGTCGATGCCTTTAAATAGGTATGAATACAACTGACTGAATAATTTTAGATAAGAACAGAAGATACAAGTAAATCAAAAGAAATTCAAAAACAAATGCTGGTACTGAAATACTGGAGTGAATAACAGCTTGTCCATGATTTTTGGGTAGATTTCTTCCTCTGTTAGTTACAGCTGGGGTGATCAGTTATCCAAGTATCTTGGATTCTGTTTGACCTTCCTCTGTGATCTTCGAATCTTATCATCACCTCCCCCATCCAGAGTAACCTTGTCCTCAAGGTTAGGAAATTGTTCAGCTAAGTTCTGAGCTAGTTTCCAAGTGGCTTCTTCAGCTGGGAGCTGTTTCCATTTAACTAGGTTTTCTTCAATAATCTTGCCACCTCGTTTGATCCAGCGAGTGTCTAGAATGAAGTCAGGTTGCAGAATGATGTTGCCTTTGTCGGTGGTGGCCGATAGATCCTTGGTAGGGAAGGTTGCATCTCCAATTTTCTTCTTAAGCAGTGATATATGGAAGACCGGATGAATTCGGGAGTTGGATGGCAGTTGGAGCTTATAAGCAACTGGGCTGATTTTCTGCTCTATCAGATAAGGGTCATAGAAACGGCAAACAAGTTTTTGGAGAGCCATGGCGGAAAAGGTTTGTTCCCAGTATGGTTGGAGTTTAAGGAAGATTCAATCCCCTTCTTGAAATTCAATATGCCACCTTTTCTTGTTAGCATGTGGAGGTTTGCAGCTTGCAAGTTTTGTCTAAGTTGTGCGAGCAGCTCATTCCAGCTGGTGAGTTGCTGATCAAATTTGTTGACAGTGGTCATGCCCTTTTGTTAGTATGGTATGGTTGGTGGTGGCCGTCCATACATGCTTGAAATGGTGTC